GCGTGACAAGAATAGCGCTCAACATCCCCCTGCAGTGTGAGTGAGGTGTCGCAGCCTTGGTGTGTCACCGATTGCTGTAACGGGTCTAATTTATTGCCTCGTATGTCATACCTTATTAATAGGCAGGTAGATAGCAGAATCACATCCTTAGTTCTCACGGTTAGGACGCCAGCCTCGCGATGGGGCCTTTGCTCAGAGCCAGGGGGCACTGGTCATTGGTCATTGGGAGAGTGTTGAGTACCAGACATCTAGCAAAAAATGATGCAACTCTATTGAAAGAGATTTCAACCTACAAGATTTTGGTGTTGGTCTCATTCTGTCAGTAGTGGTGCTTATCGGCTAGGAATGCCTGGAACACCCATTTCATTTTATCCATAGTGATGCTATCGATTAGGAATGCCTGGGGCTCTCACCTCATTTTATCCAGAGTGCTGCTATTGATTAGGAATGCCTGGGGCTCTCCCTTCATTCTATCCATAGTGCTGCTATAGCCCAGAAATGCCTTGGGGCTCACCTGGGCCTATAGTACTAGCAGCAACCCCCAAAGTCACCTCCCGGACTGACCTGAGCCAATGTTGTGGCTGGATCAGCCCTTGTGGTTCCTATGATTATAGGATGCACCTCAGATAGGACCACCAGGGACCTCTGAATAAACAAGGTTTATTACTCACAGGTCCTGGAGGGCTCAGGGAGCACCCAGGGCCTCATAGTGAGGTTGCGGGCAGGGAACCTGGGGTTCTGTCTGGACTGGAGTCTAGTGTGGGGTGCCTAGGGTTTCCTGGGTTCTCTCCTTATTGGCCAATTGAAAACATAAGAGCAGAAATTGGGAAAGAGAGGGGTCACCGAAGCGATCATGCTTTCTAAAAGGGGCACTTTGTGGGCGGGGCGGCCTGGCTTCTTACCTAGCTGTGTGGCCAGCAACTGGGTCACACACAGCTGGTGACATGTTTATATCCCAGATGGATGTCTTAGAAAGAAATACCCCAGAAACATGGGGGGACATGTCAATATTGTAGATGCCCTGTGTCCTCAGTCTATAATCTCTTAATCTACTTTGGTTGCAACCTCAGTTCCCATTAGCTCTTTTTTTTTGTTTGTTTTTTTTTGTTTTAAGATTTTTAGGCAGACGGGAAGGGAGGGAGCGAGGGAGAGAAACATCAATGCGTGGTTGCCTCTCGCGCGCCCCCTGCTGGGGACCTGGCCCACAACCCAGGCATGTGCCCTACACCTGGAATGGAACCGGCGACCCTTTGGGAAAGGGTCGCAGGCCGGTGCTCAATCCACTAGCCACACTAGCCAGGGCTCGCTAGTAGCTTTTAAGGAAGCCTAATGAGCTGGTCCTGACATGCGCAGGGATGACCAGAGGGTGAACAAGCAGAAGGAACAGAGGGACCTCGCGCTCCAGCTATTGGTTTCTGCCAAAGTCCGTGCAGTTAGGACGGGGCCCAGCGAAACTGGCGGAGAGCCGAGCACCCAGCCAAGAGCAGCCCTGTGCGTGCGGGGCACGTTTTTCGCCCGGGCAGATCCTGCCCGTGAGTGGGTGGGGGGCCGCGTGATGACTTTGGTAGCCGCACAGCAAACCTCGTGGATGAAATGTGATTAGATACTTATGTGCAAAAATAAATACATAAGTCCGCTCCTGGAGATTAAGGCCCTAAGGCCGGAAGTCGATGCGTTCCAACTTTGATGACGGGCGTGGGATGCACCAGGACCTGTGAATGGAGGAGGGCCTTTGAAATAAGATGCGGGGAGATGAAAAGATTGATCCATTTGACTCATTAAAATTAGTGTTTATCAAAAAAGGGGAGGAAAAAGATAAGCGAAGTGAAATCGCCACAAACCTGAAGATATTTGCAACACAGTGAAAAAGTGTGTATCAGAAAATATTTTAAAAACATGAATCAAATGGATAAAAACAATTAAACGGATTTCACAAAGACACAGGCAAAGGCAAAAAATACTTTGTTTAGTGTGGCCTCTTCGCAGGAGGTAGAATACAAACAATGCAACAATTATAAAATTCAGAGGACTGCCTTGCGGGGGAAGGCGGCTTTCAGTGAGTTGTGCACCGAGGGCATTGAAGGTTCTGGCATTTTCCTCTGTATTAAGCTCAGTGTTTGCTACATACGTGCTTGGTTTCTTATTTTTAACTGTTATGATTTTTTTTTTTTTTGCACATAAAGGAAGAATAAGTGTAGAGAGGTACATTAACAAAGAAATATCTACGTTGACTCTTCTTTTTTTTTAAATCCTCACCCAAAGTCATGCTTACTGATTTTAGAGAGAGGGGAAGGGAAGGAGGAGGGGGGCAGAGAAACATTGATTGGTTGCCTCGTATACCCGGACTGGGGACTGGCCCACAGCCTAGGCATGTGCCTTGACTGGGAATCGAACCCACGACCTTTTAGTTTACGGGAGGATGCTCCAACCCTCTGAGCCTCATCTGCCAGGGTTTGGTAAGATTCTTGATCATCCAAAAACCTATTCTTCTGGCTTCTACCTGTCTCAAGAGACAACAGCAACAGATGAGCCCATCGGGTCCTTAAAACAAGCTGAACTGGGGCCACGCCTCCTAAGGAACCCCTCTGGCCCAAGTGGCACATCCCGCGAGGTCCCCTGGACACTCCTCATCTGTCAAAGGCAGCCTGTGACACAGACCTCCAGGACAGCCCATTCCCCATGCCCAGCAGGGTAGCTGCTGCTTTGACGGCTCTGTTGTTCCCTCCTCACCTTCTCAGACTCAACACCCCGCGGCGTCCTAGGAAGTCACCCTGTTCTCTCCACCAACACTCCCCGCCCAGGTGGCCTCACCAGCCATGCTTTGGGTGACATCAGTGTGCCGGTGACTTGAGAAGTTGCCTGGGACCTTTCCTCCAGTGGGAGCCATGCAGCCCCAGCTCAGATAAACATGAGACGTGACAAAGGGACTTGGCCACCTTTACCGGCTTTGCAGATGGAGAAAGGGGCCACAAGCCAAGGCGTGTAGGCAGCCCCATACAGGTGCAAATGAAGGTGAAAGGTGAAAGCGACCCCCCAGAGAGAGCCCTCAAGGAAAGAGGAGCCTCCACCCTACACACAGCTGAGCCCTGCCGTCCACCCCAGTGAGGCCGGAAGTGGATTCCCCCCGGGGCTCCAAAGAGGCCACGCCCTGCTGCTGCCCGTGAGACCCAGAGCAGAAAAACCAGGCCCCCACCGCATTTTTTTCCCTCCTCACCTTCTCCCTCACTTGGGACCTTTCCTGGGAACTCCTGACTTGTACCCACTGTGTGTACAGCATCCCTGGGCGGGCCCCTCAGAGGCCTCACCACCCGGACACATCAGCACCTGAAGTGCTGCCTTGTCGCCAGAGTTAGGTCCTTCTGGGATCTTTGCTGTCCTGGTCAGCGCAAACGACACGTCTAGGTGCCCGCCTCACGGCTCATGTCCCACTCAAAGGACTCCCTGTAAAATGTACCCCTGATCTCTCTTCTCTGCTTCCAGCATCTCTCATCTGCCATATTTTCTTTTTGCCTTAGACCCCATTTCTGTGCCTTTCCCACCTACTTCCTGGTCTCCCACCTCGGCCAGAGCGACCCTTTTGCAGTGTCTTCTCGGTCAGCTCACTGTAAAAGTCAAAGGCCTTAAAGTGGCCCAGGCCCAGTTTTACCTGGTCTTTGCCTCTGTCTTCTGCTCTGGGCTGCCACAGCGCCCCCTGCCTCCCCCCTCCAGGAATTGCAGGCACATTTCTGCCTCCGGAACTCGGGACCTGCAGCACCCTGTCTGCGCCGCTAGCTTTCCTAACGGCATGTGTCCAGCTCCTGCTCAGGTCTCAGATCCCCTAAGTTAGGCCTTCCCAGACTCTCCCCTTTTAAAATTGTGCTGCTTCTCTCTTCCCAGCTCACATTCCTACACCTCACTGGTTACACATCTTACTTATGTTTGCCTGCCTGTTCTAGGGGACAGCCTCTGACTGTTCCCCATCCACCTGTCCTAGTTGTCTATTGCTGTCCCAAGAAGTCCTTGCAAATTCAGCACCTAAGACAACTAAGGTTAGTTATAAATAGATTATAAACTAATAACCCTATAAAGGTTATAAACTAACCTTACTATGGCTGTTGTTTTATAATATATCAAATCATTACGTTGTGCACCTTAAACATATACGATGCCATGTGTCAATTATATCTCGATAAAGCTAGAAAAAGCGAAACAATGGAACAGCACATTTAGGAGGAAGTTCTCTGCTTGGAAGGGCTCAAGTGACTATACCCGGCCTCCTGGGATAATCCAGCATAATCCCCAGATTTTTGGACCTGAAGCCTTAATTCCACCTGCATGGGGCCTTTTGCCGTGCAACCTGACGTCCCCACGTCCTGGGGCGAAGGTCCTGCCTGCCAGGCCACCTTCCCACCAGGGCAGCAGGGCACGACAGGACATGTGGCTGTTGCTGCCGAGCTGCTCCAAGAGCCCTAGACATTGTGTCATTATACATCCTGGGCGCCCAGGAAGGCGGGGCTGTTACCACCCTATTGTACAGATGGCAAAACTGAGGCCCAGGGCATGTGATGTACCCGGTGCCAAAGAGCTGGGTCTCCTCAGGCACTGTGGTCTCAGGGCCCCTGCAATAGCGGCCCCCCTAAAATACATCCCAGGATGTGCTGGGTTCTGGTCTCAGCACCGGGACTTTGAGAAATGGAAGCACTGCACTTGTGCAGGCTCTGCCCATCTCGGACCACCCTGCACACTATTGTTTTAAATCCTCGCCTGAGGATATGTTGATTGATTTTTTTGAGAGAGGAAAGGAGAGAGACAGAGAGAGAGAGAGACATTGATGTGACAGAAACATCGATCGGTTGATGACTGGGGATCAAACCTGCAACCTTCTGGCAGACAGGATGAGGCTCCAGCCAGCCGAGCCACTTTACCATTGAACTTTGCCTTCCTAACATCTCTCGTGCTCCTTTGCTTGTGTCAGATTTCCAGCGACACCGCGTTTATGCCGCTTTCTGTTCCCCACACAGACGCGTACCCTAATTCCGAAGTCGTCTACGTTTGGACGAACGGCACCACCAAGTCGGTGGTGGTGGCAGAGGACGGCTCCAGGCTGAACCAGTACCACCTGATGGGGCAGACGGTGGGCACAGAGAACATCAGCACCAGCACGGGTGAGGCCTGGCGCACGCAGGACGCCGCCCTCGGGGGCGGGGAGGGGGCGGGCTCGGGCCCAAGCCCACCTATCCTGTCCCAGCTGGAGATCCGGGCCCCGCTGTGGGGCGGTGCCAGCAGCCAGCTGCAGCCCCGCTCAGGATCCCTCCCGGCAGCAGCACTCGGAGACACCAGCTGCGCCGTGGCATTAAGGGACATGCATGCCAGGCACTAATCAGCGGTGTAACGGCCCCCAGTGCGCAGTCCCCAGTGACCGCTGGCCCTGCCCAAGGCCACGCGGACCTGCTTATATAACACAGCCCCTGCACTGAGCGCTGAGACACACAAGTGACAGGTAGCCTGTTTCCTGCAAATACTCCTGTTTCCCCGCGCCCCCATGTTCTGCTTTGAACGTTTCAGAAAAGGCGTCCCCAGGTTGGGTTCTGGAAAGCGCCACCAAGCGGCACAGAAATAGCCCAGGCCTTACAAGCAGCAGGTCCTCTTGCTCCCGCATGCGCGGGGCTGACCTGAGAGGCACGTAGGTGCGGTACCTGCCGCTTCGCCTGGTGCTGAATTGGCGGGTGTCCACAGGAACAAATGCCTTCCCCTTCCTCAGGCTGCGAGGTGTCTGCAGACACCTCCTGGCCACATGAGGCCCAGTGGTAGCAGTCAGGGTCACATAGCGTGGGGCACAGCAGGGCTTGGAGCCTCCAGGCAGCCAAGGAGAAAAGGGTAACAGGATGGAGAGAGCCCTGATTGCAGCATGAATTCTAATCCCCAGAGGATACCCTCAGGGGAGACCCTGGTCAGTACCCCACTTTCTCAGCACTGCCAACCCTGGTGGGTGGCAGAAAGCGCACGGATCTGTGTTCCCACCCACTCTTGCTGAGCATCCTGGGGACAGGTGAGATCCTGGCAGGTACCGGGGACAGGACAGCGGCCTCACCTGGTGGGTAGTATGTTTAGTGCAAAAGAAAAGGAAACAGGGCCTCCTTTCTGGGAACCAGCAAAAAGGTGGCCGGGCAGAAATGTGGCGGGAAAGAAGCGAGCTGCTAATGGATGATGTTGCTGTTTGCAGTTGTTTCACTTAGCTCTGCACAATTTTATAAAGGAGGTCCCCGCCTCTCTGTGCGTTCTGAAAAGACGGTTTCGTGACATTCTCTGACATTGCTCTGGTCAGTTCCAAAATAAAACGAAGTAAAAAGAACACCACCAAAGGAGAGTTTTAAAAGTAGGGCCGTAATTTCAAAGCCTCCTGAAGAGAAGCAGAAAAGGACCTCCCCTGAGCTCAGGCCTTACAGGGGAGGAATGGGATCCGATCCCGTGGCCCCTACACGTATTCATCCCCTTTCTCCGTGTTCCTGTTTGTCTTTTCTGTTGCGGCGGCGCGGGTAGGGGCCGACCAGTCCGCTGGTCCCTCTCGCCTGCTCTCCAGGGCCCTGGGCTGCAGGTGGGAGGGAGGAGGCCCGTGGCTTCCTCCAGCCTGTCGCTGCTGAAAACTGCTGCCTCCTTCCCTGTAGGGGGCAGATTTAACCACCTGCGGTCTTACTGTTTCCCGCACCTCTGAGATTTGTCATGCCAGCAGGGACACAGGCTCAGCTGGCCCTGCTGAGCTCCGGGCTTCCATTCCAACGGCGGGCGTGGGCGCTGCGTCATTATCAGTCTCCAAAGCCCCGGCTCTGCCCACGCAGCCGGCAGCCCGCCCTCCAGAGAGGGCGCCGCGTCGGGTCTGCTTCGGTGGCGAAGGGCCCCTTGCGCCTCGTTCAAGTTCAGCCGCACCATCTACCCCTTAGAGTTCAGCCAAAGTCCTCTTGTCCTCAGCTCAACTCAGCTCTGGTTCCACTTCTCAAAGCATCTCGCGGGGAGGTGCACGTTCCCGCTACCGGCCCTTCACACCCCCACCCCTGCCCCGGCCCCTGCCCCCGCCCCCGCCCCCGGCTCCTTACCAGTTCACGGTCAGCGCGGCGTCGTTCTCGGCAATGAACGGGAGGTCCCCGCTGGCCTCCCACACGGCCAGGCAGATGCAGAGGAGACGCCGCGGCATCGCCAAGGAAGGGCCAAAAAGTTCCTGGCGGGCGCGCGGCAAGGAAAGAGCTGCCGCAGGGACCGAGGCCCCCAGAAGCGGCTGTTGATTGTCACCCTACCCCGGCAGGAGTGCGCGGGAGCCTGTGGGGGGTGGTCGCCCCCAGCTCCTTGGTGCCTGCGTGGCTGGGAAACAGGGCGAGACCCCTCTACACAACGCAGGGCTGTGTGACGTCCCCAGGTCTATGCGGAGAGGCCAAATCCCAGTGACACCCGCGGCCAGGGGGCTGGCAGAAGGGGCCCAGATTGTGAGGGGGATTAGGAAGGCACAGAAATCTGATTTTCCCAGGAAAGGCCCCCGCGCAAAGGCTCTTCTGAGGCTGGAGGTCAAAAGGCTTATACAATAATGGCCATTAAGAAATCCACGCGTTCCTGTTCTCTGCTTTGCCCAAACCACACAAATAAATGCATTTGAAGTGGGAGGTGCAGAGAGGTCGGGCTCCGGGACAGAGGACACCAGCTGGGAGCCACAGCGGAGGGGATGGCGGGGACTCGGGTGGCCAGCGGCTTCCTGTGTGTCTTTGCAGGTGAATACACCGTCATGACTGCGCACTTCCATCTCAAGAGGAAGATCGGCTACTTTGTCATCCAGACCTATCTTCCCTGCATCATGACGGTGATCTTGTCACAGGTCTCCTTCTGGCTGAACCGCGAGTCCGTCCCGGCCAGGACCGTGTTTGGTGAGTGTCCCCGAGCCCGCCCGGGCTGCTGTTCCGTGGCCGCTTCTGACCGCCCCCAGCAACAGCGGGCTCTGTTCTGTGACCTGGAAACTGAAGGACCCGTTAGGAAGAATCCCGTGTTAAGGATTAGGGTCTCCGAGCAGGGCTTTCGGGGATAACTGTCTGCTGGCTCGTTGTTGCTGTTTGGGAAAGGCTTCCACGGGGAGCTTTTTTTTGAGGTTCGAAATTGCCAACAATCTGTCTTATGTGACACTTTGCTACAGTGTTTTTAGAGGCTGCACAAAGGCCTCCTCTGCGGGTCGTGTGTTACCAAGCAGTTCTCTTTGAAATGTGCAGGCCTCCGTAACATTAACCCCCGGGGCCCTGGTTAGAGCGTCATCTCATTACTCCAAGGTTGCGGGTTCGATCTCCACTCAGGGCGCATAGAGGAATCCACCAATGAGTGCATCAAGCAATAAGCTCTCTCAAATAAATTTTAAAAAATGGATAAAGTTAACCCCCAAGGGGCAATCAATACATCACATGTGACATAATAATAATGAATTATATATGTAATATCATATATTACATATACCTATACATACATGCTTATGACATACATGTGTAGGTGATATGTACCTACATACATACAAATGGTAAGAAGCTAGACGAACATCCCTTGACATTGGCTCTAACCTTGAACCGCTCTATCCCTGAACTCGAGCGGCGACGCCAAAGATAGTTTTGCAGGTGACCCGTGATCATGGAGACACTCGCGTCTTCCTAAACTGAAAAGCTCAGTTCAGGCCTCAGCTCTTCCTACGGCACCATCTCTTCCAAAGAAGGGAGGGTGACCTGCTTTTTAGGGGCATGGTCCCTTAGTGTGGCCCAAGAGGTGGCCCAGGATATGGGACCGTCTCTCTAGCTCAAACCTGGCACCCAGGTTTGCTCGCCTCACCCACGGTAGCCTCAGGGATGTTTCAGGGAGGTTTGGCGCTCTGCGCGCCTGGCTCTTTAGGGGAATATTAGGAGGTATGCATGCGTGGGAAAAAACCCAGCGGAAAACACTATTTCCTCTTAGAGATTCTCAAAGCACACGAGGATGTTCGAGACCCAAAAAGACACAAGGAGCCAGTTCAAGGTCCAGCACAGGACACTTCCCCCAGCACAGCAATTACCTGGAATTTAAGACAAGTCACAGATGCCTACAGGTTCATCACTAAGCATTCATTCCACGCACGGCACTCTGTCATACCTTTGAAGGGTGACAATGGGTGATGACTATGTTGCTATGGCCACCAGTGACGTTATACTTGTTTGGTGCGGTCAACGTAAGAAACGTCTAAACGTGTGAGAATTTGTGTGCGTTTATTTGAGCCAAACTGACGACAGGTGCCAGGAAGCGAAGTCTCAAGGGATCGAGAAAATTCTCTGGGGAATGGCAGTTTTGCACCTTATTTTATACTTCAGAATCCAAGGAGGAGGCCTGAGGGGGTTTCAGAAGGCCTGTTGGTGACAGGTGAGGGAGGCGGGAGAAAGCAAAGTGCAGAAAGCTCTGAGGTTGGATAAAAAGTAAGGCAAATAGACACTTCTTTTACATGGGTGGATACAGCATAGTTACAGTGAATAATTCACACAATAACAGTAACAATAACAATGAGGGGTTCTGGTCAGAGATTGGGCCCTGAGGGATCTGGAAAAAAGGAAATCACCCTGAAATTCCAAAGGCATGTTATTGTCGATGTAAAAAGACAACAGACAGGCTCACTTACCGTAAAGGTCGACCTTTGCCCGGAAGATACGGGCCCAGGACATGACTACCCGCTTTTAGTTAGGAAGTTTTCATTCCAGACCCTCCTGGGGGGTTATTTTCGGTCTCTGAGTTTGCCAGGCTGCCACGCAGGTGTCCCCTGAGCTGCTCAGGTTTAGCGTGTGGCCTCCTTGTCATCCAGGGAGTTGTACTGGCTTCTAAAGGTATGATGTAGCCAAGACTGCGGGGCTTAAACAACAGAGACCTCACAGCTCTGGAGGCAACAAGTCCAAAGTCAAGGTGTCAGCAGGGCCCTTCTGGGGGCTGTGAGAGACGTACCTGCTCCCGGCCTCCCTCCAGCTTCTGGCAGGTCTTGGCTCATTCTCTGCCAGTCCTAGACCAATGTCACCCTCCAGGGGGTCCGGCTGGCTGTAGGGTCACTGAGAGTTTTCCCAGAACACGAGGCAGCCGGCCACAGGCTTCCTGCACAGCCACCTCAGGGGGGCGGTGATTGTCTTGGATTCCGCCACGGAGCTTCTGTGGCGCTCTGGCCTCTGGAAATCAGCAGGGTAGATAATTGCACCTGTGTGCCCCAAGCCCACGACTTGCAACGCGGGGGACACATCTTTGTGCATGTCGTTGCCCTTTCTCCGTTGGATCTGGACGTAGAGCACGGAAGGAACGCCCCTCATTCAGCGCAGCTTTGTTGAGCGCCAGCTGTTTGCTGGGCTCAGTCAGGGCAATGGGAACAGAGGTAACGTATGTGTATCCATAAGACCGCAATCCCTGCCCTCCTCAGTTTATATTCTAGAAAGACACAGTTAACCAGTTAAAAAAAGAAAAAGCAATATTTTAAATGCTACGAGCGTATTCAATGTCATGGGAACCATTAACCAGCAAGTCTGGGTTGGGGATAAAGCAACCGGCGCCTTTCCCGTCCTTGTGTGTCAGCTCAGGGTGTCCCACAGGGTCTGGGCCCGGCCCTGATCCCTGTTTCCGCTGTCCCCACCCCCAGGGGTGACCACGGTGCTGACGATGACGACTCTCAGCATCAGCGCCCGGAACTCGCTGCCCAAGGTGGCCTACGCTACAGCCATGGACTGGTTCATCGCCGTGTGCTACGCCTTCGTGTTCTCCGCGCTCATCGAGTTCGCCACGGTCAACTACTTCACCAAGAGGGGCTGGGCCTGGGACGGCAAGAAGGCCTCAGAAGCGGCCAAGATCAAGGTACCCACCCGTTCCCTCCCCCTCCTTTCAGCTTCCCTTCGCTGAGAAAACGTGCCTGATTCTACGTCCACCACGTATAAGACCGCGTCTGTCAGCTCCCAGCCTCCCGGCCCCCAACAAGCGGCCCCTCCCTCCTACCAAGGTCCTTGCACAGTGTCACTCCCACGCGTCCTGTTTCCAGTTCATTTTGAATCACCAGCTGTGTTCAAGCGAAAGCTCAGCGGCCCATCTGAGCCGCCCGGGCTGTTCTTCTCCCGTCATTTACTTTTGCCAAAATACCCGCTGCCTGGTCAGGATTAGGGGTCCGGTTTTTCAATTGTACAGACCAGCGTTCTGCTCCATCTCTGCCCCTGGGCCGCGCAGTGTGTCTTCTGAAGGTGGCTTTATAGCCCTGCAGGGAGCGTGGGACTTGCTGAATATAGCTCCTCAGCTGAGAACCCCAGCTTCAGTGAGGAGGGTCCCTTGTCCGCGTAGGGGCTGCTGTGGGAAGCGTCCCTCTGTTCAGAGCAATCAGGTGTCTGTTTTCGGAGGGTGACAGGTGTCTACATCTCAGGACTATTTTGCAAGAAAAGGTTGCACAACATTCCGAGCGAGCCAGGTCCTTGGGGAGATGAGACTAGCATCCATGGAGTAGAAAATAAAACTGCTGATTATTGCAGGCCTGAAACAAATACCGTATTTTGTTGTGTATAATATGCAGTTGGCCCAAATTTTTGAAGGGGGGAAATAAGAATGTGCATTACACATGCGTAGCAAATTCTGTATCTATATAAGTGTTTTTCATTCTTTTATTTATGCTCAGGCATTAAAAGTATAACTCTGGAAAACAATAACAATATCCGTATGCAAAATAATACCCTGGAATACGATAATCGGGTTTGCTTCTAAATATAAATACATAAAAAATTAAAACGAGAGTTTTTTTCCCCCCCTGGAAATCTGGGCCAAAAATGTGGGTGCGCATTATACACAGCAAAATACGGGCGAGCCCATTTTTGGCTCTGAGAGGAGAGCGGACCAGAGTTCTCAGGGTCCATCGGAAAGTCAGACTACACGGGTCCTTAGAAAATTCAGCCTGCGTCCTGGAAGTGGCCTGCGTCCTCCCGGCCCCAGCCAGGGACACACACAGGTCCCTGAACACTCGTTTCTGCTGTGGCCACTCAGCTCCGACCTGAAGCTCGGTGCTGGCGTCTGCATTTACCGCGGCTCTTTCCTTTCCTGTGGAAACCAGGGCAGGAAATGCACCCATCTCGTCAGATCCTTCCGCCTCGAGCATGAGAGCCCCAGGCGCGCCCTGGTCTCAGTCCTGAAGATCCACTTTCCAAGTCTCACGCCCCCTGTCGGAGCAAGGCCCGGCGGGACCCCTCCCTCCTGGGCCTTCTCGGGGATACGGGAAAGGCGGGGCGGATCTTGACAAGTTGAAACCTTTGGAATGGGTGTGTTTTGGGGCGGGAGATAGGAGGGAGCTGACCTCAGTGAACCAGGTGGGGAGCTGGGAACGCATTCGTGGAGGCGGGGCATCCTCAGACGGCGGGGATTCTTGCCGGAGCACCTGGCCTTAATCCTGGAGACAGAGGGAGCGAGGGAGGACGGGTGTGCGGGAGGAACGAGAATGGACAATGGGAGACGTCAGCGCCCTGTGGCCGGGAGGCACGTCTTTGCCAAAGGCCTGGGTCGGGGATGGCCGCGCGACAGTGGATGGGAGGCAGCCAGGTCTGAAGTAGGTCACCAGGCTCTGCCAGGGAGTCTAAGAGGAAACCCCGGGCCCATAGAGCTTTCTAAAATGTTGTCACCCGGGCTCGCCGTCACTGTCAGCCACCGCGGGCCCCCTTAGCACCGCCATCGGTACCGCTTGCCACAGGTCTGAACGGAGACCTGCAGGGAGCGGGGCGCGGTGGCGGCGACTTGGGTTGCGTGATCCTGGAACACCGCTGGTCTAAGCTAAGCAGCGGATCTCAGTCGTAGGAAACTTCAGGACTAAGTGTCGCGCTCCAGGAGGTGTGGCGCTGGGGTTCCCACCCCATAAAGGGGAAGGCTCCAAGCGGGGCACCTACGTGTTTCCAGCAGGCGCGTCCTCACCTGGTAGACACGCGGTGCGTGCTCTAAGGGGTGTGAGGGGGCGCGCAAGGTGGTAGCTGAGGCAGAGAGCGCTCGAGAGGTAGACTGTCCGCCGCAGTCACCTGCTGGGACCTCCAGAACCAAACGCCAGGTCCGATATTGGGGTGCAAGGTAGATTTGACCGGCACGCCCCTGTGAAAGGACAGCGAGGAAGCGAGAGGCACTAGAGGAAGAAGTCGAAGTTGACCCAGAGGAGCCGGAGCTGGAGGCCATGTACTGGCCGCTGCGCGTGGGGGACCAGGCCACACCTCCAGGACCCCCACAGCCGTAGGCTCCGTGTGACTGATCACCAAGCAAAAGACAGGCTGTGGGGGCAGACCAGCCTCTTCCAAAGCCTCTGCTCACTCCCTGGTTATATCGAGAAGCGAATGCCACCCTGGCCGGGTGGCTCCGTTCACTGGAGGGTCGTCCTGTGCACCAAAAAAGTGTGGGTTCGATTCCAGGTCAGGGCATATACCTAGGTTTGGGGCTCAGTCCCTGGTCGCGCATGTACAGGAGGCAACTGTTTGGGGTTTTTTCTCTCTCATGGATGCTTCTCTCTCCCTCTCTCTTCCTTTCTGTCTAGAATCAGTAAAAACGTCCTCAGGCGAGTATTAAAAAAAGAAAGAAAGAAAGAAAGCCTTTCAAAGCAGTGGGTTTCTTCTGAGAGATTCCGGCGGAGCCCCAGTATGTCTGAGGAGGGACTCCATGTCCCTGTTCTGGCCTGGGAACTGTCCCGGTCTCCCTCCCGTGTCCTTGTGGTCGTCTGGCTCCTGCAACTGATACCACATAGACTTGACCTGCCTTCTCACCTGCCCTATCATTTTCATTTTTCTCATAGTTTTAATGGCGATTTCTTTTCTCTTCTTTTTAAAGCTTTAGTCACCGTAATGTGCATAGTGTCCCCAGGACATATTTATTTGTAACTGGAAGTTTATACCTTAGGACCCTCTTCACCCATTTGGCCTGCCCCCGTTCCCCACTCTGGCAACCACTGATCTGCTTCTCTGTATCTATGAGCTTGTTTGTGTCTTGTTTGTTTGTTTTGCTTTTTAGATTCCACATGTAAGTAAGATTATACCAGTTTGTGTTTCTGTTTGACTGACTTGACTTAGTATAATGCCAGATGGTAGGATCTGCCTTTTTTTTTTTTTTTAATCCTCACCCGAGGACTTGTTTATTGATTTTTAGAGAGAGAGAAAGGGAAGGAGGGAGAGAGAGGAAAAAACATCAATATGAGAGAGAAACATTAACTACTTGCCTCTTACATGCATCTCCATGGGGGACTGAACCCACAACCTAGGTATGTGCCCTGACCGGGAATTGAACCTGCGACCTTTTGGTTTATTGGACGATGCTCCAATCCACTGAGCCACACTGGCCAGGGCCTGCCCTGCTTATTTTTTTATAGCTGAGTAATGTCTCATTGTATATATGAGGTCTGTCCAAAAGGTATCCAGCCATGTAATAGGAAAAACAGACATTTATTGAAGAAGACACAAGATACAAGAAACATTGTACATAGAACAATGACATCTCAGTCCCCTTCAAAGTAGGCACCTTGGAACCTCACACAGTTCCAGCTGCTAGTATTTTCCTGAATCTCATCGATGGTCTGAAATCTCTTTCCTTTCAAAGGTGACTTTAGTTTTGGGAAAAGCCAGAAGTCGCAGGGCACCACATCTGGGCTCCGGGGAAGCTGAGTCACCTGAGTGATTTGATATTTCACCAAAAAACTGCATGAGATGTGATGCATGAGCGGCCAATCCCCAGTTGCCCATCGCGGCAGCCTTCTGAATCATCTGAATAGTTTCCATGGAGGAATGTTCAAACTTAACGCAAAATTTGTTGCAGATGTGTTGCTCTAGTCGCTCCGTCATTTTGAATGTGACCACCACACAGCGCACATGCGCACTCGGTGGCATCTACCGCCCCCACTGACTAGTACGGTGAAGTCGTCAATGGTCACGCATGCGCATTCCAGTCCACTCGCCTTGGCTGTCAGGTTACATCCCTGTCATGCAAACCATTCTCCTTATATTAACAATGGCTGGACTTTTTCTGGACAGACTCTGTATGTACCACCTTTTCTTTATCCATCCGTCCACGGAGGGACTGTTAGGTTGGTACCACGTCTTGGCTTATTGTGACTAATGCTGCAATGAATATTGGGGTGCAGGTATTTTTTCCAGATACTGGTAGCATTTTCTTTAATTTACTCTCTTGTGTTTTCCACACGTTATTTAACGAGATTGTATTACTTTGGTAATGGAACAGAATTTTTTTCCATTTGATTATGCGAATTTTCAAACATACAGCAATGTTTAAAGAATTACACAAGGAAACCCTGTCTGCCATGAACATTTTATTATTTGTATTATCACCATATGTAATCTGTCTGTCATCCATTCTTTCATGCATCCACCCGGCCTCTCAATCCATCTATCAATCCCTCTTATTTTTTGATACATTTCAAAGTAAATTTCAGAGCACAGTATATTCCCTCTCTAAATACTTTAGCATGCACATCATTAGCTAGAGTTTAATACCTGCTTACCGTTTGATTCATTCAAAGGAAAGTTCTCATAGTGTGAAATGGACAAATTCTAACGGTTCATTTGCGGGGTTTTGATGACATAGTCACCTGTGGAGCCTGGTCCCTATCACGATAGAGACCAGCACTAGCACCCCGGGCAGGTCCCATATTCACTGCCTCAGTGGTAACCACTATCCCACTTTTCTCTCCCATAAGTAACCTGACCTGTGGTAGAATTTCACGTCCTGAGGGACTGTAGGTTTACAAGCCTGTGACGTCTGCCCTGGGCCAGAGCTAAGCTGATGGCTCTTTCTCTCTTTACAGATAAACCTTTAGAAGTCAGCTGAGGGTTGCCTGCAAGTGATTCGCCCTTACGTTCTTATTCTATTTTGCAGAAAAAGGAGCGGGAACTCATACTAAATAAGTCCACGAATGCTTATACCACCGGGAAGATGACCCATGCCCCCAACATCCCAAAGGAGCGGACCGCGGCAGGGACCTCCAACACATCCTCGGCCGCGGTCAATCCTTCCGAAGACAAGACCCCCGAAAGCAAAAAGACTTACAACAGCATCAGCAAGATCGACAAAATGTCCCGAATTGTGTTCCCAGTCCTCTTTGGCACTTTCAACTTGGTTTACTGGGCAACCTATTTGAATAGGGAGCCGGTGATCAAAGGGGCCATGTCTCCAAAATGATGCGTGGCACCCCCAGACTCCAAGAGAGCCATCTACCTGTGGCGTGGGATCCGGGGGGGCGGGGGTGGGGAGGGCTGAATTCAGAGAGACTTCCCATTCTTGGGCACTATCTTTCAGGAAATTTTTGCATGTTTAATAATATGTACAAATACTATTGCCTTGATGTTTCTACATATAACGTCAGATGTTTCAAAGATGTCACATTGATAAATAAAACAAAGAACTTTCTAGAAAACCAGAATGGCTCTGACACTCAGACGCTCAGTATCTGACCTTGATAGTTTACAAACAAGATAAGTATATTTTTAACTGTTCCAAGTGTTACCTAACAATGTTTTTTATACTTCCAATGTCATTTCATACAAAATTTCCCAGCAAATAAATATTTTATGAAATGCTCCATGGTTATTACTTGCCCAACTCTTGCAAGAAACCAAAATCACAAAGAGCACATTTTTCATTACAAAAGGAAACTGTGAGCATTTATGTATAAAACTAAATTGCCTTTGATAATTCTTACTGTTCAGCGATTAGGGAGTTCTGCATGACCTTACTTTAAGAAATAGAATAGGCAAATATTTATGCAGACAAATTTAATACCAGAAGCATACAGTATGTTAGATGAACAGATAAAATATTTCCCCAAGAAAAAAATTAACTGCTTAAAAAAATCTCTCTTTTTTTTTTTTTTTTTTTGGTGTGTAGGGAGGAGATACATCCTCTACTCCCTGCTACTTACCCTACTAACTGAACAATGACCAAGAGAGAAATGATGTGAACACAAAAAGTGGTGTGACAAGTCTTGACATTTGTCCCGAGCATTCAAGTCCGACACTTGGACCACGCCTCGCTGCAGCTGGTGATCCTTCAGTGGCGAGAAATTGTAACTGATTTCTTTTCCATGTTTTTTCCTTGTATGTATTTCATGATTGACTTACTGCTCTGGTAGCTTTTGTATATGAACCTTAAATGTTCATTAAAAAAAATAAAAAATGAACTGATCTCTTGGATGAATGTCATGTTTTTAAGAAGTTCATTATTTTGATGGATTCATTCCCTCACTGTGACACAAAGGAGATCCATTGACATATTGCTTGGGTGGCCATTGGAAATATTGGGGAGGGGAAGCACTTTATAAAGAATATAATTGCCCTGGCTGGGTGGCTCAGGTGGTTGGAGCATCGTTCCATACACAAAAGGTTGTGGGTTCAATTCCCAGTCAGGGCACACACCTAGGTTGTGGGTTTGATCTCAGGTTGCAGCACTTAAGGGAGGCAGCCAATTAATGTTTCCCTCTCACGTCTCTGTGTGTGTGTGTGTGTGTGTCTCTCTCTCCCCTTCTCTCTCTAAAATCAATAAACATTCTTGAGTGAAGATTAAAAAAAAAAAAAAGAATATGATTGTCTGACCACTATGCTGTATCCCTGAAACTAATACAAAATGATATTGAATGTCAAATGTAATTGAAAAATACATTTTTAAAAAAGATTTTATTTATTTTTAGAGCGGGGAAGGGAGGGAGAAAATGAGGGAGAGAAACATCCATGTGTGGTTGCCTCTCATGCACCCCCTCCTGGGGACCTGGCCTGCAACCCAGGCCTGTGCCCTGACTGGGAATCGAACCGGCGACCCTTTGGCTCACAGGCTGACACTCAATCCACGGAGCCACACCAGCTAAGGGGAAAAATAAAATGTTTTTTAAGAAGAGCAGAATGACAAAAGAAAAAGAAAAAAAGACCTTCTGTGGCCCTTTCCCTCTCTCCCAATCAGACCCCCTACGGTGGCCTGAGAGAGAAGGCTGATTTCAACCACAGCGAGGGTCCGTAGGTAAAACCACAAGCTTTTCCCTGTCTCCTAAATACAAACATCTCCATGGTGCAGTCCAGTGGGTCTACTCGACGGAGCTCCACCTGAGGGCGTGCGCCATGTGGGCACGTGTCATGGCCGGCTAACGGCTGGGGCCTCGCTGCACGCCTGCCTCTTGCTCTTTGAGAACAGTCATGCCGTGGACTGTATTTCTCCCGCCATTGCTCTTGGAGAAAGTTTCCAGGAGCAACCTGTATGGAAGGAACACTTCCCGCCCCCTCTGTGACTCCCTTGGAATCCTAGAAGGGGACTTATGACTATTAAGCAAGCGATCAAAGTTAGCCCCGCCCACATGGACCACCTAAGGGGACACAATTCTTTTAAACCTCTTCTCCTCCCTGCATTTGGTGGGTCCAGACCCGGAACAGCTGCGGCAACACGGGCGGCATCTTTCATCTTGGATAACCTCACAAACGTCCACAGTATCCATTCACTGAAAACTCTAGGTGTTGACCTTGGAAAGCCTTTTTCCAGGGTTCAAGATCAGCTCCTGTATCTTATCAGAGCACAGGGGACACTTATGGAACTTAAATGCCTCCCAAGGACAGGTGTCCATTTTTTAGTAACTCTGGTCGTTACAGGTGCAAAGATATTTCACTGCTCCTTCTATGCCTGGTTTCAAGACGTCACACGCGAAAGGGTGAAGGTCAACAGAAAGGGATCCTAGATCTTCTCACGCATGCGTGTCTCTGCTACGAGTCTTGCTATGTGTGTGCTTTACAGAAGATCAGCATAAAATCCGCCAAAACCAAAGGCAGACCTGAGATGCAACATGAAACAGGTGTTTTGATTGACTGCTCAGTTACATTTCCCTTACGCAGTCTTTACAGGTTAGCTTTGCATTGAAGTTAGGAGAAAAATGTATAGTAAGTTACATGTAAGTGACCACAATTAGAAACACTCACTTGAAATGTCTCAATCCTAAAAGAAAATGATGTCTTTTGTATCAGGTGGCTGCAATTGCCTCGACAAGTTCTTGGTGTTGTTAGCAGAAACTTCTGGAAGCTCTGCTGCGTGAACTTCATCACTTCTGCATCAACACACGGCTCAGGCTTAAATCTGATGCATGATGGCCAAAATTATGACATTTTTTCTGCTCTCTGATATTGTATTGGAGATATTTCAGTGTTTGTTATTTTTAACGAACACAAAATAACCACCTCAGGGAAAATGATAACAAGGCAAGAAATAAAAAATGTAAAAATAATTATAAATTACTGTGCCCTGCTTTTAGAACTGCGGTGTTTACATGTATCTCTTTTTGACATCTCCATAAACAGACAGAATAGTCTAATAATCAGCAATCAGTGCTCTGTATTTCTGAGGAGTCTATCTATGTATCTATCTAGGGCAAGCTTTGGCTAAGTTGGCATAAATCCATGTATACAATAATGGGGTTCAAATGCTTCTAGATAGCTGTCAAATTAAATTGGTACAGCAAACACTCTTCTTGAAGATTGATAAGGAGTTTGCAAATCATCTAACCCATTTGTTAACACCTTAGAACTAGTTCTTTCTGTCTCCTGTGGAGCAAGTTATGGAGAACAGGTACAGTAAATTAGAAATCTGTTTTACAAATAGGGATATTGAAACGCAATCCACTGATTGGCTCAAATAATATCATGCGTTAGGAGAAAATGCAGACAAAGCTTTCGGTTCTCATAGTTACTAACTATGGGTCCACAACACCATGCGATTGCCTTCAGAGGGAAGTTGATTTACATTAAGACTAGAACCTGTCCTGGCTGGTGTGGCTCAGTGGACTGAATGCCAGCCTGTGAACCAGGAAGTCACCGGTTCGATTCCCAGTCAGAGCATATGCCTGGGTTGGGGCCAGGTTCCCAGTTTCAAGTGTATGAGAGACAACTGACCTATGTTATCTCTTGCACATGGATGTTTCTCTCCCTCTCTTTCTCCCTCCCTTTCCATCTCTCTAAAATATATAAATAAAATCTTTTAAATGTTCTTTTAAAAAGAGCAGAATCTAAAATGGAAAATTTTGTTTCAAGCCTGGGTTGAATGATTATATAGTAAGAATGCCCTAGAGATTTTTTTTTCCCACTGACAGCATGACCTTTAAGTCTGTTGCTTTTTCTGTACTAATAATCAGTACTTCCGGGATGGAAGAAACTCCTTGCGAAGGAATGAATCTGTTTGTTCCATCTACACCGCTCCCCTTCTTCATCAGAGAGAGAGGGAAGGAGGGAGAGAAGAAGGAGGAGGAGGAGGAAGAGGAGGGGAAAGAGGGAGAAGAGAGAAACACAGAAACCAAGTATCTTGGTGTGATCACTCTTTCCAGAGCACAAATATAAATGATCACGTTTGCTGTGTTGTTTGAGGCTGGCTATTATGATATCATCTTTAATCAGCCTTTTTTAGACTCCATTGTAAGAAGTAGCTTCAAAGAGCAAAGAACTCTTAAAAAATTGGAAATGCCGTCGCTCCCTCCATGAAAACAGTATTTTAAATATTGAAAAATGACTCTTGATGTCTCCTTTATAATACCGGCCCATCTGAAGCAAGCACGGCCATCCGCAAACATGCTGAGTATTTGAATGGGAATGAGTTTGATCTTGGCAATTATTCGCTAGGTCCACAGCAAGGTGAGATGGTGTTTTTGAAGTGCGCCAAAAGGTTCATTTCATCTAAGATTTGCCTTATTATCTGTTCGCCACAGTCATTTTCAATAGACTCTCTCGGCCCCCAAATCAGGTGATCTGTAGCTTCTTTTGAAATGAGCATGGGTTTGTTATGGAAACGTGTGATTCAGAAATATTTATTGCTTAGACTTCTCCCAAATATAAAGATCTAAGTAAAGGGCTTCCTTAGCGTTTGTGAGTTCAAACGGAAAGACAAAACAACGATTGGATACTCTATCTTGTAACGTATGACTTTAGAAAGGAAAACTGGAAATGAGCTCTAATTGAGTTAATATACGAATTGAAGTTCATTTGTTCTACTTTCTCCCCGTTGCTACCACTGTTTCCTGTAGCAGCCGGCACACTTCCAGCCAGTGAGAGGTACCCAGGGCGTGGGAACTGATAGAAGGAATAGAACTTGGAAAGTGAGTGGATTGGACATGAGGGAACCTTTTTGGGTAGGGGTGGCGGTTTCCCACCCAGAGAAATTCTCTT